TAGTGGTCTCGGGCTACGCCCTCGACCACTTATCTCGCGGGAGTTATGTACCCATAACCACCTCCAGATAGGGATGTATCCTACACATAAAATATGAATATATTATATATACTTGTAGTACAGCTATACAATGCATAGAATACTGTATAGCAGGAAATTTTTGAGGAACTAAAATTTGGCAAATTGCTAAATTTTGGCGATTGGCAAGTTTTAATTTGGCAAATTTGTAGCCACGTGCTATTGAGCAAAATGGCAGGTTTTTATTTTGGCAAATGGCTATAAAAACGCTAAATTTGCCAAATTTAATTCCCTCCAAAATTTCCTGCTATATGGTAATCACACCACCTGTAATTTGTGTTATGATAGCTGAGCTGAGTTTATTTTGATTTCCATTAAAATCATAAGATCCCTATTTTATAAAAAGTATTATTGAAACATTAGTATTATTACTCATTATCTCACAGCTAATCCAGTATATGGACTGATATTATTGATTAAATTGTATTGAAGTGTTTCCACTAGATTGTGTTTCCCTTCATTTGAAATCTTCCAGGATTGATTAAGAAGATTATGTAATTCCTCTGTGGTATAATTATTAATGGTCACATTCCACGTTAGAGCAAGTATTCTAGCAGCATCATAAGCATTGAATACTTTTGAATGTAAGAGAGAATAAAACTCAGTCTCTGTTAGCGACCCATTGCTTTTTAAAATTCCTGATATAGTGTTTCTTTGGTCCTTTTAAAAAAGGTTGTGCTAGTGATTAAGATTGTATGATAAGGAAATAAGCTTACTTGGTTTATATTAGTAAAAGTAGATGATTGAATGTCAACAAACAAGACCGATCCAATAGCATCATTCATTTCATTGGTAGTACAATCATGAGTAGTAGTATTTACTGTCCACCAATCAGGAGTATTCATACCATGCAATATCCATGCATGCTTAGCAGTAGTGAGGCCAGCTTGATATGCCTAAAAATTCAAGTTTGACAAATTTTAACAAATCGATTATACCTGACAAAGCAATATTCTGGCATCCATTGGATCCATGACAGTAATAAATATTCTAAAATCTTCCACCTATACATGTAAATAAATATGTTGTAACTTCGGGACTTAGTGAAAATGCGTTTGCTCTTAATCACAAAATAACTTTTTGACTTTACAAAGAAGTCACTAAGAACTAACTAATACATGCAGCACAAAACTTTAAA